AGTTGTATAAAAATGTTAAGAGACTTAAATCAACCACAAGGTGGTGAGGTAGATGAAATGTCATATGACGACAAATACAGACATTTCTCCATGGCAAAGATGAGACAAGTTTTAAATATTTACAATAGCCGTAAACAAAAAGGTTTGGGAAACCACTCCCCGAAGAAATGAAAAACAACCCTGACTTAGAGAAAGACTATATATTTAATAGTTTAGTCAAAAGAGACAAACAAGAAAGAATGCCAGGCTTCAAACTTAAGAAAGGTGACAAAGTAAAAATAGAAATACCTAAACGCGACCCATATGAAAATACTATTGACTATGACAACAATGGGAACCGACAGGTACTCACATTCGTGTTCGTAAAAATAGAAGAAAGTATACAAGAGAATATTATGAAGTTTTAGGCAAACATGGCAAAATGTACAGACTGCAAGCAGAAGATAAAACTACTATTGTCAGACCTCGTTTCAAACTTGTCAAAGTTCAAGGTGGTATACTTTCAAAGACAGTTCCTAACAAATATAAGACAACTCCTGACGAATATGCTAAAGAAGTTGGAAATGACGACTAAGCAATTCTATACCATGCACAAACTGTCATGTAAGGTGGCATGTATTTTTTACCTAGTCCTGTAGATGTTGTTGTAAAAGTATGTTGGTGGTTTCCTCCTGGTTCAGTTTGTCGAAAAGTCTTTTTTGCTGAATGGTTATAATCTGGAGATAAAACGTCATAGCCAGCTTCATATTCTGAGTTGTATAATGGATGGTCTCGTAATGAGTGGCTATGGTCGCCAGAAAAGTTTGTTGTACCAGAATGACTATGTGGTGGCAAGTTGTCGACAGATATCGTTTTACTTCCACCTGTTTTCTTTGGAGTGTGTGCACAATACAAAAAACTTTCGAATATTTGAGTCCAAGTTCCAAAACCAAGTACTACTTCTGGTCTGGTAGAGTTCATTGACGTATAAATAGAACCAACTGGGTAAATGGTTTGAAGTATTTCTGTCTTTAATGTTTGAAGCTCTGTTTTGTCTGCTTTCTTGTCATATAAATCTTGAGCAGTGAATTTAACTTTATTTTCATCCTCCATGACATAAACATCTCTACATCTAATGTATCTCATCGTTGTTATGTCTTCTTCCGATGTTAAACCTTGTGGAAAGTTAGGAGGTTTCCAATCTAATACATCCCCACCAGCTCCTTCAACCGTTCCTTCAATATTTTCTATACCAACAGTTGCGAAGAAGCTATGTGTATGTCCAACGTCACTTTTCCTGTTTAAGGTTTCTTGTAAGTTTGTAATATTTGCAATGGTATGTGTATGTCCAACGTCACTTTTCCTGTTTAAGGTTTCTTGTAAGTTTGTAATATTTGCAATGGTATGTGTATGGTTCTTATCCGCTTTAAGGTCTAAACATCCTGAAACCCACCCTGTATCGGCTTTACCTTTTAAAATCTTTGTTGTCCGTTCATGGTACCATTCAACCCTTTCTATAATTTTTTCATCTTTTTCATTCACATATTCCTTATCTGCCTTCTTCACTAACGCACTAGCCACACGTGCTAACTCATCGTCAACATACTCTTTGTCAGCTTTGTTGTCAATACTCCTTCAAAAGAAGTTCATCTATAGGTTTCTCGTTTAAAGTTCTTTTGTTGGATTTATACAAACAGTATGGTTCTTACTGTCTTGAAACAGAAACTCGTCTGTCATGGGTTTAATGTCAGTTTTAAGTTTCCTTCTTTCAATGACTCAGATATCTTAGAATAGTTTGAAAAGTTTGTTGTGTTCTTATTTAGAGCTTGCAAAATGAGTTGTCGGTTGTGTTTTATTTCTCTCATAGACGCTGTTTCTTTCGACATTTTTATTCTAGATAAAATATGCTTTCAATAGAAAAAGAAAATTCAAGAGTTGCTACAACTAAACCATTAGATGAACTTTTTACGAATGTCGGTCAAAAGTTTGAGACAGAGACCGTAAAGCATGAAGGCTATCGTTTTGACTACCCTAAGATGGTTAAGAGACCCATCCGTCACAAAAGCTATTGGCTTTCGTAGAATGAAGTTCATTTCAGAAGCCATACATGGTTTCCCATTTACGGTCGCTTTTGAAAGTTCGATACTATAACAAAGAAAAACGTACGTATGAGAAATTTGAACAGGGAAAACTTTTACAAGTTGAATTTGCTTGTAAACTTAGAAACAACTCTTCAAGCTTTTCAAGAAAAAATAAACGATATCTATCTCGAATATGCAAAACAGTACAACATTGACGAAGGAGAGTACCATCTCGATATTATATATGACAGGAAAAATGCAACTGTTAAAATCAATAGAATAGAAGACCTTGGAGAAGACGTTTATATTTCTACAAAATATAACAACTTGGCATGGTATAGATTTTTGAGGATGTTAAATCAGCCTGCAGAATATCCAGTACACCCGAACTTTTATGAAGTCGAAAACCCTAATGGAACATATGAAAATGTTTTCGACTCAGATGCTATTATAGTTCATGCTTCATTTTCTGGCGCACAAAACTCTTTTTTATGCTTGGCAAATGACTTTTACGAAAAACCTACAAAGCTATACGAACCACCAAGTGGAAGTATTTCAGACTTTCAAGTATGGTTTACTACAGATGGAAGAAAGAGAATAATTCCATTATACCACGCGTTTTACTTAGAACTTAGTTTCATATACAACTACTATCGAACGGTAAAAATATAATTTTTTAATACGGTTGAGGTGTTGGATTTGGTTGCCAACTAGACTGTGGTGCAGGTTCAGGCTGTTGTATAACAGGAGCTTGCTCTTCTGGTTCAGGGTCTTTAGGTATAATACCAACGAACTGACCTACCTTTTACCAATATTTTTGACACCGTTCCAAATTCCTCTTCCTACGTTTTTATTCCATTCCATATACCTCTTCCAACATTTCGAAAGAAGTTTCAATACTACTGAAGAAACCCATTTTACTATATGTAAAAATTAATGTCCACCTAGTCTCTTACGTTTCCTGTTGAGTTCCATAGCATTCTTTAACTGGGAGCTCATACATTCTTTTCTCCTCTGGTAGAAAACATACTCTGGGTCAACTCCTGTGTTCGCGTCATCTGCATAGAGTTGTTTATATCCCACTTCAGGGTTTGTATAAAACTCTTTCCATCTCATATTTGCATACCATGGTGGTAAGCCTAACGCAGCGTCATTTGACATGGCAGTTTGCATTTGTACATCTGTTGGCACTTGACCATAGTTTGCCATTGCAGTTTGTATTCTAACTTCATTTGGAATATTCTCGGGTTTGGTTGTCCAGGTTGCTGTGCATTCGCTAAGTTCTGTGCGTCCATTTAATATTAGATAAAAATATCTCTTACGAGTACATATACTGAACATTTGCAGGCATTGGTTCATCTTCATATTCTCTATATCTTTCTGCCACGTCAAATAAGTAAATGACACAATGGAAAAAAACCTAAAACAAGTAGTCCAATTTCAAACCACATTTACTTACTAGTAAAATTTCTTTGTTATGACACTTTCTCCAGTTTATAGGACCTCTCTCATATTCTATCTTATCGTATCTAAACTCATAGTCATGTATGTCCTCTAACCATCTCATAACACTTTCCAAACCACTTTTATCGGATGTAAAGTAAAAGCATGGATGGTTATGTAAAACGTCTAAAGTTTCTAAAGAGTCTCTCAAAGTCCAGTCTACTTGGTATTGAAAATCCCATGTGTTATAGAACGGCGGGTCTACTATAAAGAAAACATTTTCCTTGTCTTTATATTTTTCATACAACTCTGTCCAATGACATCTCACAAACTCTATACCCTCAATATATTTTTCTATGTCCTCTTTGAAAACATTTGTATAGTTAAGATATAAAACTTTTGACATAAGTGTTTCAATGTCATGAACTCTTATAGCACCACTATATAATAGTCTAGCAGATATACTATCCCAGTCAATATACTCTGCCTTTTTCAAAACCTCTCTGACAGTATTTTTCTTATCTAATGGTATACGTTCCATCTTACCTATAGGTATCTTTTCTTTCAACTCTTTCAATATTTTGTTTGTGTCTGGTATATGTTTGAGACGGTTCATATAGTTGTCGAAGTCATTGCATATAATCTTTGAGTCAGGAAATACAGTATGGCACAAATGGGATATATAGAAACTTCCACCGAACAAATCTACAAATGTTAGACCATTCGGTAGTTTCTTAAGTTCTCTCAATAGAATATCTTTACATCTACTCTTATTTCCAAAGAAGGGTAACGGTGGTTTTGTAAAATTCATTTTATATACAATAAAAATGTTTTTACCCTGAAAAGTGACAGAAAAGTGACAAAACATGAAAACTACTCGGTTAAGGTCTTGTCGGTTTTGTAAAATAACCATCCTATCTTGTTAAGACTTCCTGGACTGTTGTCAAAATGTCATGTTGTCTCATTTTTTCAGAGAAGTTCGTTTAACCGAGGGACCGAGGGACCGAGGGACCTGGTGTTATACTAAACATCTTCAGGGGGCTAGAGGGCGCAACGCGCCTGGAAGCCCCACTACCTTTTTTTTTTTTTTTTTTTTTTTTTTTTTTTTTTTTTTTTTTTTTTATTTTCACCTCGAATTTTTTATTTTGTAAAAAAATTGAATTGTGGTAAAAAAGAGTAGTGGCAATTGCTTTTTTTTTGAAAAAACTTTTAGAAACTATATGAGTGGAGTAGATCCATTATTACGAGATAGTTGCCAATTGTAGTAATAAATTATTCTACACCAATTATTTCTTTCATTTCTGGCATGACGAGCAGAAAGGAAGCGATCAGTAACCCTAGGAAAAAAGAAGAGGGTGTTACTTTTCGTGCATGTAACTTTTAGCAAAATTAAAAATTTTGTAACCAATTGATTAATCAGAAAAATAGCATCAAATAAAATAATTTTGCTATTTTGACACCGCCAGAAAAGAAAAAAAAATCGAAACGAATTAAAAAATGCTTTCAGGCGGATATTATCAAGGAAGTGGTGATCCACAAGATCCTCAACAGCAACAGCCGCAACCACAAAGTGGAAATCCATTCATGTCACCAGAAGTTTTTAAATATGCCCAAATGTTAACAGGTGGAATTCAATTACCACCTCAATTTCAACAATTAAATACAGATAAGCTTACTCAACAATTCCAGCAAAGTCAGTCCTTAATTCCACCTTATTTTGCAATTACAAGAGCTTCTTTTCTTCATAAAATTAAGAATTTAGCATGTCCATTTATTGTTAAGCAATGGTCTCGCTCTGTACCTGAAGGACAAACATGTTCTCCAATTGATAATCCAAACGCTCCAGAATTATACACACCATTAGTTTTTACGTTTATTTTCATGCTAATCACATCTCTCATAAAAGGAGCTGAGAAGGGCTTTTCAATGGACTTCTTATACATCTGTATTCTTAAATTTATCTGCATCTTGTTCTTCGAGATAGTAATTTGCAAATTATGCTTCTCCAACTTTGGTATACAAGGAACATATCCAATTCTCTCCCTTCTTTCAGACTTTTCATCGATATCATTTTATCTTACAATTATTTCACTATTTTCCTGGAACAGAGCCCTTTTCTACGTATCTTACTTATACTGTGCTGCAGCAGCCTTCCTTTGGACCCTCAGAACCTTAAATAGTGAACAATGCATGGCTCAGCGCCAAACACAGAGTACACAAATAATTACTTACTTCCTGCTTATTTTGGCAGCAATACAAATTATTCTCTTGTACTTGTTGGCTCCAAAATGCTACTAATTGAAAAAAATATTCCAAATTTTGTGTTTATTCGTTGATTATTTTATTTTTTTATTCTTTATATTGTAGTATAGATCCGTATTTTTCCCAAGTGAGCGGGGTATCTCCAATCCCAGCCCTATCGTCCTCCCAGTGTCAGTTTTCAATATAAAATCCAAATTTTTTTTGAAAATAAAAATTTCGAGAAATTTTTCTGATTTTTTTTCTTTGATTTCAATAATTCAAAATAAATTTGGGAGTAAAAAGACACTATTTAATGAAATTCATATGAGTATAGATCCGTATTTTTCCCAACTGAGCGGGGTATCTCCAATCCCAGCCCTATCGTCCTCCCAGTGTCAGTTTTCAATATAAAATCCAAATTTTTTTTGAAAATAAAAATTTCGAGAAATTTTTCTAATTTTTTTTCTTTGATTTCAATAATTCAAAATAAATTTGGGAGTAAAAAGACACTATTTAATGAAATTCATATGAGTGAATGTGGATAAATACTCTCAAAACATACAATTTATCTATTTTTTCTTTATATTATCAACTAATTAGTGATAATTTTTTTTGAATCAGATTTTTTTTCATTAAAAACATAATATATAACACAACAATGATGCACACATACGTATCTACACATCAAAATATAAAGCTTGTTTTGGTCTGGGCATCCCAACCCAAAATTCTTTAAAAATTGAATAAAATTGAATACTTGGGGCTGGGATACCCATCCCAAAACCGAATTGAATTTTTTGAATTAAAGAATATATTTATGTATTTATAATATACATGTGATGTCTATAAAAAATACTAAATTCTAAAAAAAATTCAATTTATTCAAAACGTATACTAAGTGATCACTTCATTAGTAGGATCAGCAATCCTACTAAATGGTGAGAACGCCACTAACTAAAAAGGGAGTCCTTGGAGCTCTTGATCTCTTGTCAGTAGAGTTCATAATGAGGCATGGCATCTACTGATTAGAGATCAGAGCAATCCTACCTTACCTTCAGGAGCTACAAAGCTCCTAATCGTTACGAGAGGGAGCCTTGGAGCTCCTGAAGCTCATCAGCAGAGGCTATTTACCATTTGGGCCTCTTCTGATGAAAGATGCGAAGCTCTTCTACGAACCAGGAGCTCCAAAGCTCCTAATCCTTACGAAAGGGAGCTTTGGAGCTCCTGAGTCTTCATCAACAGAGTCCCAGATGGTAAATGTCCTATGCTGATGAAAGATGCGAAGCACATCTTCGAACCAGGAGCTTCAAAGCTCCTAATCCTTACGAAAGGGAGCTCTGGAGCTTCTGAAACTCCTTTTACTATAAAATAGGACAGTTTTCTTCTGAGGTTCTCATCAAATCTAAGACTTCAGAAGAAAGCTGTCCTATCAATGTATACTTACACTCTCATGGACTACAAGTGTACAATTTTAAGGCAGAGATTATCTGAGGCCTCTCATCAAATGAGGGACCTCGGATAATCTCTACCTTAAGTAGTCAAATAACTTTTCTCATTATTTAGGAACAAAAGAACAAGAGTTGGAGTACTTTAAGGCAAGATTCTTCCGAAATCTCTCATCGAATGAGAGACTTCGGAAGGACCTTGCCAAATCCTTGAACGCCAATATCCTTGGAACTGAGCTAGAACCAGGGAGAAGTAGCATACTATAGAGCACGATGGTAATCTCGGAAATGCTTATATCGCCCCAAGCACAATATTTAAGAAGTCTAACTCATATATACAAGAAGTCAGGCTGAATAGATATTGTGCATATGGTTTGCAGAACTCTCATGATATTTAAAATTCATGTTATCCCAAAAAAGGTGACACTTTGGGTGTATCGTCCATCCCAGGGATGCAAAAATCACATCACCTTGGATCTATAATATGAGTGAATGTGGATAAATACTCTCAAAACATACAATTTATCTATTTTTTCTTTATATTATCAACTAATTAGTGATAATTTTTTTTGAATCAGATTTTTTTTCATTAAAAACATAATATATAACACAACAATGATGCACACATACGTATCTACACATCAAAATATAAAGCTTGTTTTGGTCTGGGCATCCCAACCCAAAATTCTTTAAAAATTGAATAAAATTGAATACTTGGGGCTGGGATGCCCATCCCAAAACCGAATTGAATTTTTTGAATTAAAGAATATATTTATGTATTTATAATATACATGTGATGTCTATAAAAAATACTAAATTCTAAAAAAATTCAATTTATTCAAAACGTATACTAAGTGATCACTTCATTAGTAGGATCAGCAATCCTACTAAATGGTGAGAACGCCACTAACTAAAAAGGAGTCCTTGGAGCTCTTGATCTCTTGTCAGTAGAGTTCATAATGAGGCATGGCATCTACTGATTAGAGATCAGAGCAATCCTACCTTACCTTCAGGAGCTACAAAGCTCCTAATCGTTACGAGAGGGAGTCTTGGAGCTCCTGAAGCTCATCAGCAGAGGCTATTTACCATTTGGGCCTCTTCTGATGAAAGATGCGAAACACGTCTACGAACCAGGAGCTTCAAAGCTTCTAATCCTTACTAAAGGGAGCTTTGGAGCTCCTGAGTCTCCATCAACAGAGTCCCAGATGGTAAATGTCCTTTGCTGATGAAAGATGCGAAACACATCTACGAACCAGGAGCTCCAAAGCTCCTAATCCTTACGAAAGGGAGCTTTGGAGCTCCTGAAACTCCTTTTACTATAAAATATGACAGTTTTCTTCTGAGGTTCTCATCAAATCTAAGACTTCAGAAGAAAGCTGTCCTATCAATGTATACTTACACTCTCATGGACTACAAGTGTACAATTTTAAAGCAGAGATTATCCGAGGCCTCTCATCAAATGAGGGACCTCGGATAATCTCTACCTTAAGTAGTCAAATAACTTTTCTCACTATTTAGGAACAAAAGAACAAGAGTTGGAGTACTTTAAGGCAAGATTCTTCCGAAATCTCTCATCGAATGAGAGACTTCGGAAGGACCTTGCCAAATCCTTGAACGCCAATATCCTTGGAACTGAGCTAGAACCAGGGAGAAGTAGCATACTATAGAGCACGATGGTAATCTCGGAAATACTTATATCGCCCCAAGCACAATATTTAAGAAGTCTAACTCATATATACAAGAAGTCAGGCTGAATAGATATTGTGCATATGGTTTGCAGAACTCTCATGATATTTAAAATTCATGTTATCCCAAAAAAGGTGACACTTTGGGTGTATCGTCCATCCCAGGGATGCAAAAATCACATCACCTTGGATCTATATATTGTAGGATAATAAATTTATTATTATTGTATCTGATTATTTCTTATTTATTTCCTTAATTTATTAAATAATTTAAGCATCTGGGTGAAAATAATATTACCTTCGACTATTTTATTGTTATTGCTTCATTTCAAATATATGAACTTAAGCAAAATTCATAAATTTTATCGGAAATCTTTGAGAACATAGTTTTCCAAAGGGTATATTACAAAAGTGTGCTTTGTAAAGTTTGTAAAGTGTTAGAATTTAGTATTTTTGACATTGTAAAGTCTGCATTAGTGAGGGTTATTTCACCAACACATATTCACAAAATTACTGAGAAATATGATGTAATATAGACTCAATAGTTAGTATACATATCATCGGTACTGTGGCACTGCGCGCCTCCTTACTCATGATATGTGAATTTGACATTTTACGAAACCGTTAACGTATATTTTACAACATAAACGACAACATTAACTTAACCTTAAATATTTATAAAGCCACCAACCACTTCACCTCACTAACGACTTCACTAACGTTTTCACAAACGACTTCACTAACGTTCACACTAACGTTCTCACTTACAAAAGTATTGCAACTCTTCCCATTGCTGTGCTTCATATAACAGCTCATATTCATCGGTACTGTGGCACTGCGCGCCTCCTTACTCATGATATGTGAATTTGACATTTTACGAAACCGTTAACGTATATTTTACAACATAAACGACAACATTAACTTAACCTTAAATATTTATAAAGCCACCAACCACTTCACCTCACTAACGACTTCACTAACGTTTTCACAAACGACTTCACTAACGTTCACACTAACGTTCTCACTTACAAAAGTATTGCAACTCTTCCCATTGCTGTGCTTCATATAACAGCTCATATTCATCGGTACTGTGGCACTGCGCGCCTCCTTACTCATGATATGTGAATTTGACATTTTACGAAACCGTTAACGTATATTTTACATCACAGATGCAATATTCTAATAACCTTAAACTATTTCTGCCACGTAAAGTATTTATCACATAAACCACCTCATCTCACCTCTCTGGACGTTATATATTGTGCGCAGGTCATTGCCCATGGCAACTCCCCACGACACAATGCACGTGCATGAAAAAATAAACGTTCTCACTAACGACTTCACTAACGTTTTCACAAACGACTTCACTAACGTTCACACTAACGTTCTCACTTACAAAAGTATTGCAACTCTTCCCATTGCTGTGCTTCACACAATAGTTCATAATCTTCTGACTCACTTTCTTCTTCATATAGGTCAAAATCACTGTCATAGTTTATACCTGTAAGTTTTGACAAAGCTAATGAAACACGCTTACCGTTTGTATCGTATGCTTGTATAAACTTTCCATTATGCTTGTAGTCATAAACGCTCAAACTAACTTTACCCTTTCTCCCTCGTATCTGATAGAATGTATTTTCACGAGGAACGAAGAACAAATTCTTGAACTCATGACCGTTGTAGTTTGTTATCTCAATAGTTTTCGTCATTTATATAAAAAATAATGATATCACCACCCTCACACGTATGAAAACATAGCACAAAAATAAATTTAGGTGAAGTGGTGAGATCTCACCTCTTTTTTCACCTCATTTCTACCCTGTTGAATTCATTGCTTTATAACTCTCTTCCTTTCTCCAACTCTTCTAACTTCTTCTTAAGTTCAGCAATGTTGTCCTCATGAAGTTTAATCTTTCTCAAAATTCCT